CGGGCGCTCCCTGCCAGAGCAGACGCGGGGCAGGAGCTGCCGCCGCGCTGCCGGTAGCGGGAGAGCGCGGCTTTCCCCGCTCCCGGCACAGCCGAAACGTGCCACGGGCGGCCGGGGAGCGAACAGCCCGGGCAGCGACCCCGCACCGCTGCCTTCCCCTCCCCAGTTCCCTCCGCTTCGAGGCTTTTTCGTTGCCTGGTCGGTTTGGGGAGGTGGTTTTGGCTATTTGGTTTTGATTGTGGGTTGTTTTTCTCTCCCACCCCCACCCCACAGCAAGTTCGGCTTATTTTTCCTTGCTGGAAAGGGCAAGAATGATGGTTCTCCCGAAAGCACCCCCCTCCTATCCTTGTATCCGGGGGGGTCCTCCTTGGCATCCGCCAGCCAGCAGTGCGGGACGGAAAATGCGGCTGTAGGGTCCCCTTTCCACTTCGTTCTGGAAGCAACCGGCCTCACTCGAGAAAGCAAAACAACGAGGGTATGCGGCTCCCTCCCCCGCGTGGTGCCGGAGCCCCCCAGCCCGGCCGCGGCCGGCGAGCCCTCGCCCCACGCCGGCTCCCGCTGCCGCCCGCACCCACCTCGCTCCCGGCCCGGGGGAATCGCTCCTGCTCCCGGAATTGTGAACCTCGGCGTCCTCACTGCCCAGGACACGAAATGCTATTTATTTAGGGCGAGCGGGGTTTAAGATAGGGCATTTTCGAAGCAGGGCTTTAGGAAAAGGAACGAAAAACAGCCCGAGCGCTCCGCGGCCGGCGGCAGCCGCGGGCTGCAACGAGCGCCAGCCTCGGCTGCGCTGCCCTGCGAGGGGACACCTCCAAACCTTCCTCTGCCGACTCCTACTCCCCCTCTTCGATTAATTTTTTTCTACTGTATACTAAAAGGAGAAAAAATCCCGATGCAGCCGTCACTTGTGTCGTCCTCTCTTCCGCGGGCTCGAATTAACCGGCATAGAGGCTACCTTGCAAGTTTTTCAAAGCCGTTTTCAAGTGCCATTGCTTCTCACCTCTTTTTATACTTCTCAAAGCCTACCTCTAATCTCCAGTCCAGATCATACAATAAATTCCCCATACGTGTGATTTAAGTAATGCGCAGAACAAGATAACGTTACAGACAAAAATTCAACCCAAATTCGCTGCACGCAACCAACCGTATTGCAGCTAACGACGAACGTGAATGCGGTGCTTTAATCGAGAAATTTGAAGAGGGTCACAGAGGCCCCATTTAGCAGTAAATTCCCCGGTAATAAATCGAAACTGCCCTCGAAACTATTTGTCCGTTCCAGGTAGGGATTGTGTGCCGAGTCCCCGCGCACGGGGACACCCCCGCAGAGGTTCTGCTTCTGAATCTGCCTTTAGGCGCCTACGTATCACTTAGAGGGCAGAGCCGAATGGCTGAGGTGTCGGTCCATAGGGCGACCCGACCCGACCCGACCCGACGGCCACGGAGCCGTTTGGACGTGAGCGTTACCTGCACCTACGGGTACCCCTGGGAGACGTGGGCGCCCAGAAACCCCCCCACGCCCCGGCTTTGGGGGAGTTATTTTAGGTATTTCAGCAAAGCCGCGCCGCGTGTGTCACCCAGGCTGGGGCACGGCGGGCTGGGCGGTGCGGCGCAGGGAGCGCGCAAATCCCC